CCTAGTGAGACTACAACAGTCGGATTCGTAATGTACTACCCGCGAAGATAATTTTAAATTTCAAACGTTTCTTCGTGGCCGACGGCGGACGAGTGAGGACGTCTGGTTAACCCTCTTTTTTTTCTAATAAAATAATATAAAACATACGATATCGTATCGTGATACACGCGGATTCGATACGACGCGTGAGGTCAATTCGCTATAATAATATATAATATAATATCTACCTAGGTAATGTTCTTAAATATCACCGCCGTCGTCGTCGCCGCCTCTCGTATAATGAATAACAATAAATCGTATTGTTGTCTTTTGTTTCGACGAGTAATATAGTTTTACACATAAGTATTAGGTGTAGTAACTATTAGGTATAGTTACCGGTATAATATTCATTTTTTAATACGGTACGAAAAAAACAAACCATCATCGGCCTCGGGGACGAGCTCGCCTTTGTAATACACATTATATCATTATTATTATTGTACCTGCGCGTAGTAGGTACCTATTTATAATATAATGTATGCAAACTTCCCCAACCATTATCTATTTCTTATGATGGTCGTACAGGTATAGAGGGTCTAATATAAGAATCGCCATATGCAGTAAGCTGAAAGGGCTCGTTCAAATTTTAAAAATTTTCAAGAAAGACAAAATATCCTGAAGCACCTAGAGTTTTATAATATTTCATTAAATGGCAATAGAGACTTTTATAGATAATAATAACTATCACTATAACATCACGCTAGTTTTTAACATGCCATTTTTTTAGTTTCGGAACGAAATGAAACTATGATGTGTATTTTTTTTTCTGTCTGTAAACAATATTTTGAAAAGAAATCTTGCTCCAATTTATAGAGTATAATACCTTTTTTGAAAGGTAATTTAGTCTAGTTGGTGCATTGGGTAAAGTCATTTATTGATTTTCAAAATAATTTTCTTTTCGATTTTTTTCAATTATTTTGAAAACTGCTTGGGAAATCAAAAATTTCTTATGTACCACTAATAAAAAATTTTCTCTCAGAAAAGTTACTATACTCTATACACAGGAGCAATATTTCTGATAAAAAAGTTGTATAAAAAATGTTGGGTGGGTGGAAAAAAATATAGATAAAAGGCCAAGATTTTGGACGTATCCCCTCCTTTAAGTTGTTTTTATTAAACATTTATTACATTATACAGAGTGATTTTGTAAGCAAGTTCAGTGCTCACTCCGTGTTAATGGTTAATTTGCATACAAAATGCATACATTTTAATTTTGATATTTGGAATTTTTAAACGCCGTAGAAGACGATATTTTCGAACCCTTAACATTTTTACAACACTAAGGAGAAGTACTCTGTAACAGTATCAAGTTTGGTTTTTCTAAACAGAACCTGCATATTCTATTGCAAATTATCAACCAGGTGATTTGTTTGAAAATGTTTACGTAATTCCAAAAAACATAATTTGAATTTATGCATAATTCAACCATACAAATTGGGTGAGCTGTGAGTATGCATAAAAAAAAACGTGTATAATGTATATTATATTATATCTTTTTAGAAATAAAAAAATATTGTGTAAATAATAATAGTTCTTAAAAATGATCCTTATATAGTTATATTCTCTCCCCCCTCATAACAAATCATTTGACCACCACAGAACTATAGGAGGTACCTACATGATAAGTTGACAGTTGAACTTGGCAGTAAAAAAAAAAAAACAAATTAAGTGTTATGTAGTACATATACTTAATTATATATATATTTTTTATAAGAACCAATTAAAATCAAATTTAGCGAAAATCATAAATATTATGGTCTTTCAAAACATGTATATCCGAATTCCGCTCAAAATCGTTTTTCGTTTGCAATAATTAACCTTTGCATATAGATATATACATTACATTTCACCTCTACCTTCCCAACTTTCTACCTACAATAGTGACCCACCCAAGGGCGACCGCAGGGGGTTGCCAGTGGGGGCCATGCCCTCCCTCGCTATTTTAGTTAAAATTAAATATTTATTGTTTTATTGCTAGTATGGCTTAAATATTTAAGCCATGATTACATGCAAGTTGTAAAAAAGTCTTATACTTTTGACTTTGTCCTCCCCCCCCGGTTTATATTTCTGCGGGTAACCCATCATGCGATATATGTCCGTTTTTTTTTTTTTTATATCATGCTTTAACTCGAAACAAAGTTTTCAGAAAACGAGGAAAATTGAATTCATTCGGGTAGTCGACGACGACCTAGTTCCTTGTCAAAACACTGAGCATAAAACATTCATAAAAGAGACGTAACTTGTCGGTCGTTGATAGGTACCTACCTATATATTTAGGTGAAATACAAATTAAAATCTGAATTCGGTACCTATCTATGTATTAAGTAGGTAATAGGTATACAATACACTAGTAAAATAGGTAGATATAGTTAGCATAAGACTTGGATTATTAAGAAAATTATAATGCAGTATAATGCACTATAAATGCTACCTATAAATGAAAATACGAATACTAAACGGGGGAAAAAGATATTTCCAAATACATTTATGACTGGATAATATAAATCAATAAAATACATTTTGGGAACAGTATGTATTTGTCAGGATAGAAAAACATAGAAATGAAAATATGAATAGTTATGGACAGGTCAAAACGAATAATTACCTATCCCATTATGGTTTATTCTATAACCACATTCAAAATAAGTATTTATACGGGTAAAAAATGTATGTAACATAAGAATCCCAGATTTCTTTATTTTAAAAACATTACATTTTTAATTATACTTAAAATTAATTTATGCTACTACAAACAATGGCTGAGGGAGGATCAAGGACATCATATCCCATAAAACCCAACCAAATTGAATAATTTATTACTTTTGTAAGTAGTTTTTGCAAAGGTATTTAAGTTAATATGAAAATAATTAATCAGTTTTAGTTAGGTTAAATAATATACAAAAATGCCTTCAGTTTATAACTTTTTTTTTTTCAGTTAATAGTTAACAAAATATAAATTTAACTAGTTAAGTTAAAATTTGAAATACAAAAAAAATATTAATCAAGTTAAAAAAGTTGATCATTATTATTCTTTTTGCCATTAAAAATCAATATTGAAAGAAGGTATTTAATAATTAAAACCTAATGCTTTTACTATTCACCTTTTTTATATAGGTAGGTATATTGTTATATAATTACCATTACAATTACAATACACCTCCTATTATTATGTATAGGTACCTAATAATTATGCAGGCAGAATGCAAAAACAAAATAATATCATTACCATTAATATTATAATTAATAATTATACAATTTACACTTTCGAATTTGATTATTAATTGTACTAAATTATTTTTTGATAATTTTATTTAACATAATATACTAAATAAAATTGAAATATTAATTGTATTTTAATAATGTAATATTAAAATTTGTGTTCACTATTTTCCCCCTTTGTTTTTGTATAATATATAAGGCACATAAGGCATTATGACATATAAGGCCGGGCACACACCAATGAAGTGAAAAAGTAACTGCCATGTTTCACTGCAATAACCTGGCTACCCATTTTCACTGATTTGGTGTGCATCCAGTCTAAATCATAGAACTAAGAAAATTAATCTGTAGTATGAGAACAGTAAGTTTGAATTATTAAGATGTATTAGAGAGCAATCATCAATATCATAATTTAGTTATTTAGTAATAAATAAAGCGTATGAATCTTGATTTTATCCTTTAAAAATTATTAGTTTTAAATTCTGAGTAAGGAATTCTAGGTATTTATTTTAAATGTCCAATAAGAAAAAATAAAAATGTATTTTGAATATAAAGTATCATAACCAGTATTGTTATAAACTTAGTTCCCTAGATTATTGATACATACAATTCTGAAAAACTAATACAAAATAAATAGACATTTAAAGTAAAAGATCCTGTTGATTCTATAAAGTTTATGTTACCAAAAAAACAAAATTTTAATTTAATACCTACATGTAAAGATTAAATTTATTTAATTGAAATTTTGAATTGAGCATTCAAAAAAGTTTTATTAAATAATTGCATATAACATACATTTGAAAATTATTTCTATATATGTTTTTAGTGTATGTACCTACCATACTTTATAAACGTAATGGTACCTTATGGTTTGTTAGTAATTAATAGCACTGTAAACCATACTATAAAGTGACCAACTATAGATTTCAATCCAATAAATTATACTTATAACATATTGATAAATAAGAACACAACAATTATTCAATCAATTACAATTGAATCATTCAAATGAGAAAAATACTAATACATAAGTATTTACTAATATGTATGTATATCAATACACAATACTGTGTAATTAAACATTTAGAAAATAAACAAGTAAATTACAATGTGTTCAAATCTTAAATTTCCAAATGATAGGAAATTAACTTCATTAATGTAAACAAAAGCTGTCCTAGGAGAATGGAAATGGGTGTAGCCACTGTTATGGGCAATTTAATGTGTATCTATAAGCAACTATTAACTATTTCTAACAAAAAAAAAAAAAAAATCTGAGCAGAGTTCAGTTGATAGTGTTGCTTTTTCAACAATATATATGTTATATTATGGTAAAATTATTTACCTATGCATAATATATTTTCTTTATTAATATTTGTTGAATATTTTACCTATTTTTTCTCATTTATTGGGAAAACTAATGAGAAAATCAAAAAATGACATCCTTCAAGTATCAGTGAGTTTCCTTTCAGAAAAAGTATTACACTACACAATTTGAGCAATACTTCTGGTAGAAAAGTTGTTCACAGTAAAAAAATAATAAATTAACATCATTATAAAACCATAAGCTTTTTCCTCTTCTTAGAATTTAAAATCATAAATTATACAAAAGTACTTTAATTATAATTGATTTAATAGAACTTGTAGTTCTTATTCAAGTTATATTAATTAAATTAACATGAAATTAAATTAATAATTAGCTGTACAAATATATAGTTCAGTGATTTAACATTTGATTTTATTTATTGAAAATTATTCTAAAAAATGATTAGAAGTGTAGAATTGATAAATTGATTGATTGAATATTCTTAAATTCATAATACAAAGATTCAGAAATTACGCATGAACAATTGAAATATTATGTTTTAAGAAAGTTTTATTACAGCTATAAAATAATCATTTTATAATATAGAAATAAAATACTTTAGAATTATTAAACAATCGTTTAAAAAAAAATACACTTTTTTCAGCCATGCCAAATAATTTACTTAAAAGTAAAATATTTATTTAACTTCGGTCTTTACTCTGTCATATATTTCATCACAATCTTCATTCTTAATATGCTTCCAACCCTCTTTAGTGATATGATAAACTAAAAAATAAAAATAAAAAACAGATAAATAATTTATTAAATAATAAATAGTAATCATCCATTATGTCTTAATGATTTTACCTCGTACAATACCACCACTGTAAGCATCTCTATGAGTAGCATGGAAGATTGCTCTCTGACCAAGTTTTTGAGCTTCTTCATCTGTAAGATCCCATTTGTAACCAGAGTCAAGTACACCAAATGCATATATTGATCCAGAACCTACTGAAAATACTTTACCTGGTGTTCTAGAACCATCATTGTCAATATAAAACAAAGACGGACCCTAAAATATAATTTTAGGTAAAGAAATACATTAACTGTTTGTCTACAAATATATATTATATCATTATTAAATCAAGCACAGATAGATATATAATATATATTAAATTGTTTTTTGTTTAAAAGTTCAATTGGGTACTCACATTCTTATCGTATCCAGCCAACATCATTCCAATAGATAATCCATAACCTTTATAGTAATAAATCATGTTTGACATAATTTTAGAAGCAGCTGTTACACTAATGCGCTCTTTGTTTCTCAACTCGTGTAGTCTACATTGTTTAGAGAGGACACGGTCCCAGTAGACACAATCAGCTGCACCACCAGCCAATGTGCCTAACATAAAATCATTGATTTCGACAATTTTTTTCATACACTGAGAACCAATGTATTGTCCTCCAGTAGCACGAGAATCCACAGCCAAAACTATTCCTCCTTGATATAAAAAGCCTAGTGTTGTAGTACCATGGTGAAAGTTTAATTCGACTGGTCGACCCATTGTATCACGAGCTGTGATTGCACGCATATTTTCAACTGGCTAAAATAATTATATATATATAAATTTAAATATAAATTGCATAAATAGGTAGATATAATTATTTGTTTAGAAAGCATTTTTTATGTTTAAGTCCATTAATAATTATAAATAGAATAACTTAATTTCAAAAATATCAAGCAGTTGTTAAACAATTATCCAAGGAAATATCTAAAGAAATAAAATATTATACTTTAATATTTTAAGAGTAACAAAAGGTGCATTGACTTAACAGCCAAAACAGTTTCTAACAGCGATTAAAAAGGCCAAATGATTGAGGAGGACCATAAACGTTATCAATTTCTAGTTTGTATCGTGGATGATTGGCTGTTTAGGCAACGTGTCTTATACATATAAGTTGGGCCTTGGGTCTATGTTATATCTATAAAAGTAAGTTTGCTACGTTTAAATCAGACAACTGACAAATAAATAAAATGTTAACCAACACAAAAATAAAAGTAATTAAATTATTATTATTTTGGTATAATGATGTCTTTATTTTAAGAAAATAATTTAAAGAAATAGATGAAATATCACAAGTAATGATATATAAATCTGAGTGAGTATTCAAAAAGTGGATTAAGATTATTTATTTGTTATAGACCTTTGTGAAATAAATAAATGAATATAGAAAGTAGGTATACAAATATTTTAAATTAATTCCACATAATAAAGGTCAATTATTATTATTATTTATTTGTGCTTGTCATATCTTGATATGACAAGCACAAATAAATAATTAATATTTCAGTCACATAATAAAGAAAAACTTAAATAAATTTTTAATGTAAACAAAAAAAAAAAATCATCAAAATCCATTCACTCTATCTACAAATAGTTCTTAAAAATATTATAGTTATTAATTGAAATCCTATTTTGTTAATAATATTACTTTAAAAGATTTCTGGTAAAACTTACGTTTCCGGGAAGTGTGTACAAGTTCATTTGGTTTGAAATATTGTCATTTCGGAAACTTTCGTAAGCTTCCTTTTCTTCAAGTTCACATTTGCTCTTAAATAAAGTATCATCAGAGAATCCACACAAATCTAACATTGCCATGATTCTTAATGATGAGAATATTATAAGTTCAACCAAAATAAAACTCGAATGATTCTGAAATCACACTATTAACGTTTGAACAATTTTATTTTATAATTTTATATTGTATCTTGTGATGATAATGAAATTTAGTAATTACTGATTTGTTGATTTATCATTTATCATTTTCAAAATAAAACTACATAACCTCACAAAATTGTATAGCAAATGCAATGTTGCATTTTAAAAGTTAATTCAAATTAAATTAATTTAAATAAATTATTTAAACCAATCAATCTATCATAAAAACCTTTGCAAGCAATATTTTTGTAAGACATTTTTTAAATATAATATAACTTTAAAAATTGAAATTTTTTTTAAAATAATATATTTTATAACCACATTGTTTTTTTTTTTAACTTTGGCAACATTGCGTGCGTCCACACTTCATTCTTGTTATTGTGGAACGGAACCAGCCAATACTTGTTCCTTTTCCATAATTTTCGACACACGTTTTCGGTACCCAATTTAGGTAAGTAAAATGTTTTATTTTATATTTCTAAGTCAATTTGTTACATTAAATTAAACACACGTTAATTATTTGCCTTTTTTTCATTCGAATAACTATTTGAATAATTGTTTGAAAATTAATTCATACATAGTTTTACATCTTTTTTGTAACGTGAGGTGTCTTTAATATCACGTTATTCAAAGTTTTAAACTTCTTTAAAATAGTTAAAACTGTTTGTATATGTAATTTTAGTTTGTTTTTTTCATCACCTTTATAGAAATTTGTTCAATTAACGGCTTTCAAAATATATGAGTGAATATTTTTTGAGGTTATATTTTTTTCATTCTTAGGATAAGGATATTTCCTACGATGGGAGGATATAAGTACGTGCAAGAAGTGTATAGGAAGAAACAGAGCGATGTACTTCGTTATTTGTTACGTATTCGCGTCTGGCAGTACAGACAAATGACTCGTGTCCACCGGGCACCTCGTCCAACTAGACCGGATAAAGCCAGAAGATTGGGATACAAAGCTAAACAAGGTAAAGATTTTATACTTGCCATATGATAATTTACTTAGTTGTTGGAGTATATTTTTTCAGTAAGTATAATGTTAAATATTTTGTGTTTAATAGGTTTTTCAATATTTAGAGTGCGAATCAGGCGTGGTGGTCGTAAACGTCCTGTACCCAAAGGTGCTACTTATGGTAAACCAAAAAGTCACGGAGTTAATGAATTGAAACCCAAACGTTGTCTACAATCAATTGCTGAGGTATATTATACTGTTTAAGTTAAAACCTTATAATAAATTAATGATATTCTTTGTATTACCACATATTGATCAATAGTAATGTATAGTGGCACTACGTGCATTGCATTGATCGATATATATTGGTTACCATAAGTTTATCTGGGTAGAATTTTTATTTTAAAAAAAATGTATAATTCCCAAGATTTATAAATCAAATAGCCATGTAACAATAATTAAAAATTTAAAGCAAGTGTTTTATAGCTAACGTCTATTGGTTAATTTTTTTTTTAATTGCAGAGCAGATACCTTCATAAATTTCTAAATTTTAAGCTAAATGATGTATATGAACCATGCACCACTCCTTATTTATTAAATGAGGATAATATAAATTTTACTCTGATAGCTTAACCCAAGAATAAATTGTAATTATTTTATAGTTATATGATAGTGTACCATTTACCACTCCTTATCACATCTTTAGATAAGGTAAATAAATATCTGCATCAGATTGGCTACAGATTAGTATTATGATGCTATAAATTTGATCAAATATTTAATAATAATATAAAAAAAAAAAAAAAAATGATGATTTTGTACCATGCACCACTCCTTATAATATCATTAAATGAGGATAGAATATCTAGTATCTGATGTATTAAGTTTAAGACTAAAAGTATAATGATGACAATTATGTGTAATAACTACTGATAGTAATGTGAAGGGTTAATCTTCCTTGGATGTCTGATAATGTAACACAATTCGTTAAATATTATATATATATATATATATTAGATTAGTATAATTTGTATGATGATTATGTACCATGCACCACTCCTTATATCATTAGATGAGGATAATATACATCTATATCTGATAAATTAATTGGTTTTACCTAAAAATTAGATCAAATTTTTCCTAAGCAAAACTAAATGATGATTATGTACCATGCACCACTCCTTATATTATTAGATGAGGATAAAATATCTAGTATCTGATTTATTAAAATTAAAACTGTAAAAGTTTAATGATGACAATTATGTGTAATAACTACTGATAATAATATGAAGGGTTAATCTTCCTTGGATGTCTGAAAACAAAACTTTAAATAATTGCCTGTATCAGTGCTTCCATTATTACTTTAAAAATGTAATAGTACCTATGTATTAAATTATATTTTGAAGAATTTACTTTCATGATGACAAATAATTTTAAAAACAACTACTGATTATATTCTATGAAGGGTTTAACTTCCTTGGATGTCTGATGGTAAATTATAATTCTGTTTATTTTTATTGAATGCATTATCTAATGTGTATTTAGAAGCCAAATTAAAAACTATTGATCTAGGTACAAATTCTTTATTTCACTTTTAATTTATATTCCTATTCAACAATTTTTATCATTAACTTGAAGATTTTGCAATTAAATTGTGATTTTTTTTTTACTAAGATCAATATCAATGATGATAATTTGTGTTTTGTTAAATATTCACTGAATAATTATGTGGACAAAAATACATATTTGTTCCCTTGGCTATCTGAAATTTAGACTTAGGTTTTTTACTTCTTTTTGCTTTCTTTATAGTAAATACTTACTAAATAAGATTCTGAATTTTCAAAATAAAAACATGATGATAAATTGTGTTTTGTTAATATTCACTGAATAATTATGTGGACAAAAATACATATTTGTTCCCTTGGCTATCTGAAATATTAAAGAAAAAGTAATATCTGTTCATTTTTTGTGACAGGTTTAGATTTATTTTATTTTATATTAAAAATACATAATAAGATCTCTAATTAATTTTTGTCCAACTGGTTCATTTTTAGAAATCTTAAATCTACTGTCTGCCCAACCTAATGATCTTATAATATTATTGTTGTTAAATTGTTTTACTATTTAATATTGTTTATTAAATTTTAAAAGCATATATTTTTATTGTATTTATCATTGGTTACAAAAATTATTGATTCTGCATCCAGTTTGTTAAAAAATTACAATAATGATGATAAATTGTGTTTTGTGATAAAATAACTGAAAAATTGAATGTTGACAAAAATACATTTTGTTCCCTTGGCTATCTGAATTGTAATTTAAAATCAATTTTTACTACGTGAAATTTACCATTAAAAATAAACATTAATTTATATCAATATATTTTTAATTATAGGAAAGAGTTGGCCGTCGTTGTGGTGGACTCCGTGTCCTTAACTCTTACTGGGTAGGACAGGACTCTACTTTTAAATTCTACGAAGTCATCACTGTTGATACAGCTCACCCAGTAAGTTCATGTTAAATTTAAGTTTATTTAATTGTATCTAAATGCAGTGCAACAATATATTATAGTTACTTTAATTATTGATTAATTTTGTATTATTAGGCAATCCGTAGAGATCCCAAGATCAATTGGATATGTAATGCCGTGCACAAGCACAGAGAATTGCGTGGAAAGACATCTGCTGGCCGCAAGTCCCGTGGTCTAGGAAAAGGTCATGGTTATTCACAAACTATTGGTGGATCGAGGAAGGCGTGTTGGAAGCGTAAGAATACCTTGCAACTCCACAGAAAACGATAAACCCATTATTATTAAGTGCTTTTTTGTATGGCAACATTGTATATTAATAATAAAATGGTGTTTTATTTTATGATGTTCCATTAGTCTTATTTTTTTATTTTTTTACGGAAAATTATTTATCCATTGTTTTGTAGTTATAACATACTAAGTTCAGTAAGATTTTTTTTTGGATAACTTAATGTTTTTTTTAAATAAAATATAAGAGATAGGAAACCAAAATACTTGTTAGTTCCATCAATATTTTTCACATCAATGTTCACAGCTAACAAAATTTGAAAAGAAAATGGATAATTATTAAGTATCATTTGCATTCTGTTTGTTTATTTTTATTTGACCATAAATTGGTGTATTTTTCAAGTCCCATTCTGTTCCTGGTAATTGATATCAATTTAATCAAATTAAAACTTATAATTGGGGCTTGGAAGTTATAGAATGTCAATTAGGTAAAATATACAATAAAAAATAATAAATATATCGAGAAGATATTGTTGATGTATTTTAAATACCTACTAACAAATAATATAAATAGTAAATAACAATACAAATAAAGTTTGATTTACCTATATTGAAAAATTTGTTTTTGCACATTTCAGCATTTTAATTACATGTTTTTTTTTAAGTTAGGTACACAAAAAGCCACTCTTTACTTATAACACTATAATTTTAGAAATATGTCAATGGGGGGGAAAAAGTAATCTTAAAAGAAAATCTGATGTCAATGAGTGGTGGTTCAGCAAAACAAAAAACTCAATGTAAAGGGAATGAGTATACAATGAACATAGTGAATATCTACCAGATACGAAAACAAACAGATCTGTATTGAAACTGGTTTTATGACAAAACTAGGTGATGACTGGTTGTAGATGTGTGACATTAACATTTTGTTTAAAAAGAAGTTGAAGTATAGGGATGCTTAATACCTATTCTTAGTTAGCAGCTCCAGATTCTTTTGGGCTTGTATTTTATGAAGTTATTTTATAATTTAACAGATAATGTTTCATAGACTAAAGAACTTCATGACACTAGTAATGTATAATATACAATTTATAAAATAAATATCCTTGTTTTTAATTTTTTATCATAGTAAATTGTTACTTGTTAATTTATATTTTAAGGTTATTTCCTTTCTACCAACAAATTAAAAAATAATTTTTTTTTAAATTTCCTAATTTAATTTGATTGAGGCAAAATTCAATTTTTTAATATTAAGTGTGATTTAAAGGTGAATGAAATTTCAGTAAGTGTAAAAGTAGACAGGAGACCTTCCTTTTGTTTGCATCGAGTGTGTATTGTTTCATGAAAATCTGAATAAAATTAGATTTATATAACTTACAGAATTTCAATTTTATATATATTATATTATTTATTCTTTAAAGCCTTTCTTTTATTATACTCAGTTATTACTCGACAAATCCTATTATGGATTCTTAATTCCACATTTTATTGTCCTTACACTCCACAATCAACACTATCACATAATTCCTTGCCTAATCTAATCAACAAATTAAATAATTTAACATATAAAAAAGATGTATTTTATAATATAATATATATTTTTTAATCTTTGGTCCACTTAACACAGCACAGTTGTATAGATACTATTGAAAACCCATATAATTAATAGTTATAAGTTATTCAATAATTATATAATTTTAACAAATTCACTTAATGAACATAAGGTAATTATTTCATAAATTTGGATATCAATATAAATAAATAATATTATATAATAATAATGGTGTATCACAGAAAATATTAAAATTAAGTTTAGAATAAATTTAAAAAAAAAAAAAAAAAAAATGGTAACTAAAGTGTCGAGTCAAGCAATGTCTTAGGGAATAAATTCATTTTGATAAAATCATCAACAATCTGTAAATAATTGATACAACAGTTACTTAACAATTATTTCTTTTCAAATATTAAATGCTTAAAAGATAACCTGTTTTAGAAGATCAGCTGTGATAGTTGGATAATTTAGTACAAAATTAGAACCATTGATTAGTTTACTTCCATTCATTTGGATACTGCTACCAATTATATGATCTTTTTCAATGAATGGAGACAGAGGAGTATTTTGGACGTCAGATGTTGAACACGCTTCAGCCCACGGTATAGAGTGTTTATCATTTGCTTCACACACAATTTTATTTAAATCGTTCTTGAATAATAAATTTTAATATTAATTTGAGGTTATTGAAATAACAATAACAATAATATACATACTTTACATAAAGATGAAAAGACTGTACCCAGAAACTCATGCTTTATTCCAAACAATAAAGACACAATTTTAGCAACCATATCCTGCGTAGTTTGACCACTATCCACCAAGTTATATGTTCCTCCCGTAGCTTCAGGCAAATTGGATAAATGCCAAATAGCTCTGCAAACATCTTCAACATGAATCGTATTACAAGGTGTACTTCCTTTCCACAGTATTAGCAGAGGCTCTTCCAAATTTCGATACAAAGAACCAATTATGAGTTTTCGAGCTACAATATAAATGTAGTTAAATAATAATAATATTCAATACCCTACACAATCGACATACTGAGCCCAGTTTTATCACCAATGCCGTATACAATGGCTGGCCTGACAATAGTATAATTTAAATTTGGAATATTTTTCAATTCTTTTTCTACTTCATATTTATATTTAGCGACTGATGTGATGGGTATTACTTTATCGTCTTCTTTGACTAGTCCTTTGCTGGTATTGGTCATCTCGCCTGATGATACTTCAACATAACGTCTCACACCAGACTTTGCAGCATTGCGGGCACAGTTCATACTGAGTTTAAAGATACCTTCTTCATAAATAGCATCTGGTAAATTAACACGAGTTTCCCCAGCACAATTAATGACATAATCAAAGGAACCTTCAAAAGCTTTTTCACATGAATCTAAAAATAAAATGTTTTCTTCAATAAGAACTTACTACCTGCTAATTTGTAATACTGATGTAATGGTGTTTACTTTGATTAATCAAATTGGCACTGTGAAATTCAACCAAAGAGGATTCAAAAGTTGCCTTATGATCATTGTTGAGCCAAGCTATTTGAGGAGGTACTTTGTCGACCACTCTAATGACAGAAGCTAAACCGTTATCGACCAAGTACTTGACGATATGGCGACCGATAAAACCACAGCCTGAAATCGTTTAGAAATTCAATGGATGGTAACAGAAAACAGTTACAATGGTATAACTGTACCTCCCAAAACCAACACTCTGTCATTCGATGTCATGTCGAAATAGAAACCCTTGATGTTGGAGACTGACGAACGTACGAACTGCTCGCTCTAAACGATTGATCGCTCGAAATCAATAATATCTCACGCGACACCTACCGATTTCCTGTAAATGATCATCGTGACAGAATTAAACGTGCAATGTGAATTTTTTATGCAGATAAAACGAATTCGTAGTTCGTACGTGGCGCGTCCGCGGCCTCCGGCGGACACAACAGTTGTATCATTCGAACGTATTCGATAAAATTCAAAAGGATGTCCGTCATTGATACGCGTGCTGAATAATTATTACTACTGCGATGACGGATGCCATCGTGTCCGATTTTTGGTATGTACGTTGCACGTAATAATAAAATATCGTCGTCGTGTCGCGTATGACTAATAATAGTGTTATTATTTCAAAACATTATTATTGACGGTGTTGTTACTTGTTGCGCCCATCGCGTACCCGACGCGATATTTCGTTATCCGCGCGCGGACTGTGATAAACGTATTTTTGTTTGATAAGCTTTACAGTCACCGCATAGAGCACGGTCGTGGATGGACATCGTGTATCTATAACCGTGTCACATAATGACGTCCTAGATAGCAGAAGAATTATCTATTATCCATCCAGTCGCCCGCACGAGGTGTTATCGTGTCGACAAAACGTGTAAAATAACGATATTATCACGTCGATAATAGACGCGTCTAGTATCGTTAAAAACCGTACCCGTTCTTTTTGTCATAAACGGAACAAAACTTTTTACAAGATTTACCGGAAATCGACTGTACTGGCACATAGGTACACGTATGCCCATCGTATTATTATAATAATATTTGACATTTGTACAGATCACACGTGTCACTATTACCCATATAAAGTACCTATAAACTAGTCTATGCTATTACCTAGGTATTTTTTATGCGTGGTGGTCTCTGTGAAAGAAAAAAAAAAATTATCAATTGAATTATTTCATCATAGATGAAATAATTATAAATCGTACAATTTTTTTTTTTTTCATAGACTTTAAATGAAATCTAAACGTCTTTTGGGAATTGTATAGGTACTTACACCCAATAGGTACCTAATGTAAATTAATAATAATAATTTTTAACAAACCAAGTGAGATGCCGAATTTAATGGTATTTTTAGAACTTTGAACGCATCGGTATTAGGCGATGTAGAAAATATACAGAATTATTATATCTAATCAATATTTGTTATATTTTATTTATATCTACAATCGACGTTATATTTTTAGAGTTGAATATAGGCACTAATGTTCTACTGTAGGTTGGTACTTATTTGGTGGGCACGAGCTACACGGATTCTGGGTATATTTAACCGATTGGTTTTGCGTATTTTGTATGCGGGTATGTTGTTTTTACCAAGGTTTCGAGGAAAAATAAGAGACGAAAAGAATATTGTGCGTGTTTAGAATCCCTTACGTCCTCTATTAGTTACGGCTTATGAGGTTAGTAAGTAGCCTAAAAAGTTCTAAAAAGAAAAAATAGAGAGTAACGATGGATCAGCGTACTTAATGGTTTTCATAAAAACCATTACAACCAGAGTACCGCAGAGTGTACTGCTCTAAATATCACATAGGTACCTACCTACCTTGTTGTAATATATATAGATACGTGGATATCAAAAAAATTAATGTTATTTTTCTCCGAGGTCCATCAATGGACGGCTCTTTCGGCCCGGGTCCACTGTTAATTCAATTTAATTTGTGTTCTTCCCGTGTGAACCACACACTGCGTCTTGTGCTTATCGCAAAAAGTCGTTTTCTTTGCGGATTGTACAATTAAAATAACGAAGAAAAAAAAAAAAACTAATGTTCTTTTGCACCATACCATAACATCGCGGTCATCCGTATTTTGTCGCATTACTCCTCGAATCTTCGCGGTCGTTCCTGACGTCTCGACGATGAACCGAAGGAAATTGGTCGTTGGAACAATTATTGTCGCACCAGCGACGCTCTGCTACCTACCTCGAAAACGGCGGATCAATTATAAATAAGCAGACGAAACAAAGACACGTTAATTATGTTTACTTATTATATAGTAAATCGTTAATGCGATATAGGCCACGAGAAATTATTTCGAATGTTCCGTTTATGAGATAAACAATTTATTTACCCACACTATTACAGGTGTGTTGGAACGTTCTGCATAGGTGGGTAACCTACCTAAAACGAGATAACACATTTTATACCTACCTATAATTCTGTTTGTATGATGATTAATCGATAAACGTAGTTCTAAAGTACCTACTTATAAATAACTTGTACTGTTATGTCATGTAGTAATGCGTTTGTTTCTAATATTTTCATATGATATGTGTCCTATATGAACGGTTGCAGTCAGGGCACCGTAAATAGAGATTAGCGAAACGGGACAAACCTTGGCGGTTACCGAAGGAAAATATTTTCCGTTTTTTTTAATTAAGACAAATTGTTGTTTGATTGTTTACGCAATTAATATTCACAGTTGAAATAAGCGAATATTTTATTTGTAGTGTAAAAAAAACAAAACCTAAATAATTGAATTAATTAGCTATGTTTGTATATATTACTGTATACATAATATTAACTATTAGATTCTTAGTGTAGAGAAGAAGTTATTAGCTTGACTGAGATGTATTATTTGTTTTCATTTTTCAATATTTTTTTGGAAAAAAAATTTTTCAATTAGTAGATAATAATCCTCTAAATTATTCGCATCGTATATTATTGATTTCTGGGTCGCCTTGGCTACAGGACTATAATACTACTCTGTTCAGTATTGTTTTTGATTGGAACTATAGGTTGTTGCTTTTGGTTTATAAATTAAATTACCCTATAACTTTTATACCTTTCAAACTTTCTATTTAGTGTAAATTATATTTGGCTTTTTTAATAAGTAATTCGTTTAAAAATAAAAAATGCTTGTGGTATTGGGGAAATTAACTGTTGGAATAAATGCTATTGAAAAATAGAACTTTTTAATGGGAGAGAAATTGGGAAAACTCTCTCTCTACCATTACTTTTACAAGTACAAGTACCTATTATTCACAGTAACACGGTGTAATATTGAACAAAGTTTAAATCTTTTAAATTAATTCTAAACTTCAACATTAATTTTTCGTACCTACCTACTTCAATAGTATAGTCAAAGCATGTATTATAAACTTAATTCGACATTAAACAATTAAGTACTAACCTATATTTGTAAAAATAAAACGTATAGGTAATTTTTTTTTTCTATTGCATATTATAAGCGTGGTTAAGGTACGAATGTACTACCGAATGTACCAAAACTGAACCAAGTCCATAATAATACTCCCATACCGAGCCATATAACTCTCTGCCAAGTTCCAAGTTCCTAAGTCAAAAATTACGTGAATATTATCTCCAAGTTATTTGTGATCTAAAATCGCTTATTTGAGTTACCTAAACACATTCTCGAAAATTATGAAATTTAGTGTAGGTACGTGATGGGTTCTATCGTATTTAAGTAACTTTTTAGTTTCGAGTGTCTACGTTGAAAATTGCACCTGTTGTTTTTTTGTTTTGGTTTTTTTGAATATTCAATTTTTTCCTTGTTTATTTTTTATCAAACACTTTCCCCTTAAAATGAGTACATTCTCATAAAAAAAAAAACAGAAAATCAATATGAATACCTAATATGGTTTGGTAATAAGAATGAGTAAATAATAAAAATTGGGTAATAAATATTGACGTATTATTCAGAATAGCTATCTACTTTCAAAAAAAAAAAAACATAAAGATAAAATTCTTTAATCCTAGTTCTCATTTCACCATGGAACTAAACTGTAGGCTTTAAAATAAATATGTATCATTTTAAATTTAAAAACGTTTACTTGTTGTCCCTTATAAGTTAGTCGGAGAAGTTTAAAAACCATGGCGGTCATTGTTTAAAATGAATACACGATTTTCCTTTATATCGTTTCTTCCATGATTAATTTATTTTGTTCCGATTCCATATGACGTCTTTATCATAGACATATTTTTATCAATACTCGACAATAACAAAGTAAATACCTATCGAACACAATTTTCATTGAACATTTCCAAAACAAAGGATCTCGTTGATTATAGCAAGCTGCAAAATTTTTTCGAAGATACGATTGAGAAATATTTTAATATTTGTAATCGATAAGAGTTAAATATCTACTGTGTATACGATCGTTGTAAACATCGTTTAAAATGGGTGCTCTACTGTCATTGTGCACAGTTGGACAAGTAAGCGCTATTTTGAATTTTAGCATATATTATATTATAATCCTTTTTTTCATAACAAATTATTTTGATTTTAAGTTGGCTTGTTGTTGTGGTCAAGCGGCGTGTTCTCTCTTTGCATGTTGTCCGTCATGTGGCAATTCTACATCCACAAAAGTGATGTATGGTCTTATGTTACTCGTAGCAGTCATTTTAAGTTGCATCACGCTTGCTCCTGGGCTGCAATTGTTCTTGCAACACGTTAGAAAGTTTTTTATACATTGTGTTACAATGAATACCTATTTATTAACTTATTTGTTGTTTAGGTACCATTTTGTAAAAGTGAAAATCCAAGTTATACTAACAAAATTGTCGATGGTTTATATAGTGCTCCAATTGATTGTAAAAATGCTGTTGGTTACATGGCAGTATATAGAATTTGTTTTGCTATGTGTATATTTTTTTCTCTCATGTCATTAATTATGATGGGTGTCAAGGATTCAAGAGACAAACGAGCACCCATACAAAATGGGTAATAATTAATGACATGTATTTTGTTTTATTGTAGTCAATGTTTATTATTATTATTTTTTTTTTCATGTTATGATTAGATTTTGGGGAATAAAGTATCTCATTGTGTTTGCTGGTGTCTGCGGTTCATTTTTTATAGCGCCAGGGAGTTTTAGTCACATTTGGATGATTTGTGGTATGATTGGAGGTTTCATTTATCTTATCCTCCAATTTGTCCAAGTTTTAGATTCTGCTCATTCATTGGCTGAATCGTGGCTTGACAAATGGGAACAAACTGAAGATAAAAAATGGCAAGTTCTACATTAATGTTCAATGATAATTAATTAATATAGTTTTTTGTATCTAGGTATTTTGCATTGTTAATCACTACAATTGCATCTTATGTGTTGGCAATTACCGGCATTGTTATTATGTATCACAGTTATACCCAAGTAACAATAAACATTGCAATTTATGAATTTTGGATAATGTATTGACATTTAAATTATTTTTAGGATGATGGATGCACATTGAACAAGTTTTTTATTACTCTGACAGTTGTGATATGCTTATTTATTAGTTCAATTTCAATTACTTCGTGTGTGCAACGTGTTCATGAGAAATCTGGTTTATTGCAATCATCTATCATTAGTTTGTATGTGGTGTATCTTACTTGGTCAGCACTCAGTAGTGGCCCAGGTAATATTTGTACACCAGAAAGAGTTTTATCAAAACATATTATTATTATATTAAAATAGTAACTATTCTGTTCCACGAGATAACATAACTTGCTCACGCATCCAAATTAACAAATTCTGTCATCTTGTTAAATTCTTCCACCACGTGGCCACTGGTGTGTCAACACTATGACTAATACGTGAAAACTGATGAGTTTTAGTTGCTGCCGAGTTATGTTCTCTTGTGGACCGAAGTATAGTTTGTTCAAGTCCCTTATCTTAAAATTAATTATTGTAAATTGGAGATTATTTATAATTTCTTGTATACAATTTGAAAATACATTTTTAAACAATTTATTTCCATGTTATTATTTAATTATTGTCATTATTACCAAGTTAATATGCTTAAAAATAATTAACTAGTTAAGTTAAAAGTTATTGTCTAAAGTAATTAATAACTTTCAAAAGATACTTGAACTCATCATTGGTCATAATTGTTGGTTTTTATTTATTAAATTTTGGATCTACTTTTTAGAAGATAAATGTAATACAAGTTTGGCAGATATTTTCAGTACACCAACTCCTGATAGTTCAAAAATACATTTTGGTTCAGAAAATTTAGTCAGTATTGGTATTTTTGTGCTGTTTGTTTTGTACTCCGCCATTAAAACTGGATCATCTTCTAAATTCTCTATGAGTAATTCCACTGAGAGAAGTGAGTATCTTGTTTAGTATTACATTGTGTATAAATATCCATTACTTTTTTTAAGGAGAAAATGTCAAATTCTATATTATAATTTGTTTGTTTTAGATAATACTTATATTTATTCTTTGGTTGTTATTTATTATAGTAGGTACTGATAGTGATCTTGAAGCAGGACAAGGGTCAGGTAATGATGAGAACTCTGGAAAATTATTTGATGATGAAAAAGAAGGAGTTGCATATTCATGGTCATTTTATCACTTTACATTTGCAATGGCTACTTTATTTTTGATGATGACATTGACAAACTGGTACTCGTAAGTATATAAAAAAACATATTTATATTTTACATTTAAATTATTGATTAATTTAATTAATAAGTGTTATCTAAAATATACATTTATATTTCTTTTAACAAGACCAAACTCAAGTTTGAATAACCTTCACCCAGACTATGCTTCTACATGGATTAAGATGTTATCTTGTTGGGTTTGTGCTGGGCTCTATGTTTGGACATTAGTAGCGCCAATTTTATTACCAGACCGTGAATTTTAAAAGTATTAAATAACACTATTAAAGCTCATCTATTATTATTTACTTTTTTTATATCTATATTCAGTATACTAAAATACAATATGATTTTTTGTTTATTATTTAAAATTCATAAAATTCCAAAGTTTTATGTTTTAGATATGGTAGTAGTTGAATTGTATGGTAATTAATTGAGTATATATGATCAATATTAGGTTTAACTATTAGGTTATGACCAGTCTATCACATTTTTATTAGTAGAATAATAAAGAAATAATATTGTCTCTTAATATTTAAATTCACAACTTTATTTGATTGTAAAAAACACTAGAACAATAAATACATATTATATTGAATGTTATTATCACTTAGCTTGTATTTTTAAATGCATTTTGTTTTAGAGAAAATTAGAACAATAAATTAATAAGTAATTATTCATTGAATATTAATTATTTACAGTTCAGTGTGAATTAAATGAAAAAAAAAAAAATTAAAATTAAAATATTCAATTGATTGTATTTTATTATTTACTTATGTTACTATGTTAAACTATTTTGTGATATTATAATAGTTTTTATTATTTTTATTTTATTTTTTTGTGTTTTTTTTTGATACGTCTCTGATAACAATAAAAATCTCACAGCTTTAGTTTTAAGCATCGAAGACAATGTGTTAAAATCAAATTATTATTTTTATCAAATTAGTGTAGCTTAATGTAGTATTCATTATTCGTTATTATTGTGTGCAGTCATATTTAACATTATGTTGTTGAAATCATAAGTATAAATTGAAACCAAGCCTTGATAATATTTGATTGTTGATCTAAATCCACATCTGTTTGCTAGAATTAGAATCTAAACTCGACTCTAAATTATTTATTGTGTTTGTAAAAAAAATTGATTCTGACACGTCGTCCAAATAATTGTTGCTATCGGTTCAAGAGTGGTCCATGGTACGTTTGGCTCGTACATGTGTACCCAGGTTAAACCGTGTGTTCCGTAACACGTCAAATAAGTGTTATAAACAACGTGATATTTAATAAAGTTTTTTAACATTATTTTTCATCAATGTAAATGCATGGAATAATTTTGACACCTACACAAATATCTATCAACACAGTTTGTTTCCAAATTAAGTTTTATGTTGTTTATTAACAACAAATTAAAAAGCAAGTACGATAGGTAATTTCTGATTTCACCAAAACAGTAAACATGAAAAACTCACTTAATTAAAAAACAATTTTAAATTTTTGATTTTTTAAACTTGAAAACATAATTTTTGGAAAAATCCAGAATTTTTAAGTTTTTTTTTATCATAATTTCCAAAGGAAATTTGACTATTTTTTTTTAATTACCATCATATTTAGAAGTGCATTCAAATTGCACACAAAATTATTATTTTGTCTGAGTTGCTTCTGGTTAATAACTGATGTACACATGTTTTACTTACTGAATTATTACATTATTTACATTAAATTTAAAATAAAATTTACATAAATACCACCTCTAAACATTACCACTTAAACATTTCTGGAAAGCAAATTTATATCCGTTAATACAATATATCTAATTGTTTAATTTGTTTACTAAATATTAATTATTTCATGATTTTCATTTTACACAGAATAACTGATGTCAATATGAATAAACTAATTTCCATTGATAAATTGTTTGGTGGTATTTATAGATCAGGTATTGATAAGCAGAGCCTTGCTTAGGGTACACACGTATTCCTTGCACCTTGGGGTGTTACCAACGAAAAAAAAAAAATTCGCCTATGCAATAATTTAACGCTTAATGATCGTAAACATTGTATAATAAATTGAGTATTCACTAGTGAATACTAGTATCCACCTCGGTTATTTATGGTTATTTATGGTCCAGATTCAGAATGCGTTCGAGTTAAAACTTTACTGCAATCATCACAAATAAATTTAGTTGTTAATTTACGAACAATGAAGCCAGCAATATGTTCAATTACATCATCAACCACTTGCTGTAAAAAAGTAAATTGATTATTATTCATAAATACTTGTAAGTTAACGTCTTTGTAATTGCTCGGATAGATGAGAAAATAAATCCTAACCTGACAGCATGACAGCATAATTGTTATCAATTAAATGCTCCATTAAACAAAATATATATATAAATTATTTTAAAAAGAAAATCGACGCACTAAAAATAAATACATTATTGATACATGTTTTTTATATATTGTGTACATTTTCGTCAAACCATTGTTATCAGTATGTACTAAATTCTAGTTATCAGTTATAGGTAATGAAATTGCAAGGGACAGGAATCAGAATATTGTTTTAAAATTCCAGCATTTGTATTTGTCTATTGAAATAGAATATGTCTTGGGTAATTCAGAGACTGACCTAAAAATGATAAATTATCGGTTTCTTTGTAAATATATAATTCATACCCGCTACCCAGTTTTTTTCTAATCAATTTTAATTAATAATTGAATGTCGAATAATGCCTACCTATGTCACAAAACACAATTTCATGAACCAAAAAGGTCATTAGTAATAGCTTTAATATATGTTTGTGTTATTTTGAAGTACCTTATAAATTATAACCCACAATCAAATTAATGAAATCCATATTGTTTTTTAGTACTTTTTCACTACCTATTATAATATTAACTATTAAATACCTATACATAAACTAATATATTCAATATAATATGATTATTGTTATATTATCATAGGTATTTTGTACAGACCATGATTCCGAATAAAGTTTATAATTCCTATTATTTAATACTTAAGATTAAGATTAAGTAAATATTTAAGATAATGTGTATACCTACCTTAATGGATCACTTAGTTACAGTAAAAGTAAAAATATTGATCAGTCCCCAAACTTTTATCTCTTGCGCCCTTCTTATACCCTCTATGGAAAATTGTGCTTAATGTAAACATCTCAATGATCCAAATAGTAGAAAACACAGAACCATCGGAAACTCCCGAATAAGAATCGATCACATTAACCTGACCCACGTACACCTAATGAAAAAGGAACCAACAATGTGCAAACTTTGTAACACTTCAGTTATATCCATTAAATACCTCCTTCTCGATTGCCCTCAACTAACCGAAAAGAGAAAAATTTGTCCACTACCTACGAATTTAGGAGATATGTTATCTATCAAAAACTTCAACTTATTAGTGTATTTTCTTAAAAAAAATAATCTGTACAAACTTATTTAAATATGTTTATCTCTTATACAAGTTTTTTCCATTATTATTATTACTATTGCTATAACTAATGAACTCACTATTTTTATAATATAAAATGTAAATTGTTTCTCTCCGGCTAATGACTTCACGTTGAAGTCGTAATAATAATAATAAAAAAATGTAAAAATATCTATAATACTTACTCGTTATAAATTCAACTTATTTCATTTTATATTATGTTCTAGGTAATTATTGAATATTATGATATCTGAATAATATTTATTACTATTTATTAATGGTTCGTACCTACCCACCGAAAAAATATTAGTGACTTAAATAATAAAAACAAGTCGATATTTTATAACTTTAACAGTTTGTGTGACATGATTATTATACGCGAATACTCTTAACTCGGAGAAGATACGATTTACACATACACAAAAAAAAAAATAACGAGGATAAATATCAAAAGTTAAACACAAAGTATAAACTAAAAAGTTGTACCTAATGTATAATGTATGTGGGGATTTCTATTTGAAGTTTTGCAGTCGGTTGTGCAAAGAAAAATCTCGAAAACCCAAGTATATAAATATGTAAGTCATTACAGCTTTATATGAAAAAAAAAAATCCCCCTTTTTGGCCCAGTATACCTAATATATTCCTATTTCACAGTTATTGCGTAGGTACCAGAAACAATTGACGACACACTGCGCGCTATATAGCTAATATAAATACGAATATTATCAATTTATCATTATTATTATTATTAGAATAAATATATTATTGTGTTTGAATTGTTAGGTACGTTTTTTAAGATTATTAAAATCGAATTAAAACTTTAAACGTTAAAAACGTTATGACTGCAGTCGAATTTTACGCAACGAGTGCAGTATTATGGTTTTGTGACGTACGAGTGCGCGAAACTATTACAATAATATTTTGTTGGTATTTGATATTTGCGGTAAACGCATTTACTGGAATTTCCGAGAATCAAAAACCGTCGATTTTATTTTCTTCTGTTCGGATATTAGAAGATCAGCACCATACGTAAGTACGTCAGTTGGGCTAGGCTATACCAGAGTTTTAAAGTCACGTGTACACCGGCTCTTCGTGCACTCTACCCGGCCGTTTAAGTCAGTAAAATTATAGGTGCAATTTGATCACCAACTTTGAGAGTGCTGATAATATGGACACATTAAAGATCTATGGGGGTTGTGTTCCCACAATCCCCGTTAAATGACTCTTCCAATAGTCAACTATACTTTTCACTAATAATTTTGTTTATATAATTTTGTCATAACTATTTTAATATTATTTTTCATACCTATATGCATTGTCTATTTGTCTGTATAGGAAACCTGTATTTTGTTTTGCTCATTAATTTTGAAATACATGGGTAAAATAAATAGTCGTTACTACGAAAAAACTGATTGGGCCTTTTTGGCGGATGCTTAAGACCACTTAGTTGCGCCTTTGCATAAAATATGTGGACAAACGAAAATCGTCCTCATGGTCAGTACATTTTAGATTCTGTGCGGAGCGAGGTTTTATAATGTTAATTTTTTTTCCTGTGAACAAATTTTCTACTAGAAATATTTTTTTGACTTACAAATGTATCACTTTTTCTGAAAGGAAATTTGACTGGGGTGGTACTTAGGGATGTAATTTTTTGATTTTCTCATGATTTTTCTCAATATGTTGGAAAAAACGGGAAAATGTACGAACGTATACCTAGTAAAATATTAAGACCTTTTCTTTTTCCTATGAACAACTTTTCTACTAGCAATTATGCTCCGATTTATAACGATAGTATTTTTTCTAAAAGGAAATCTGACTG